ACTATTTTTTAACACTAGCTATTTATAATCACAAGGAATAAGAGAGAGAGAGAGAGAGAGAGAGAGAGAGAGAGAGAGAGAGAAAATATGAGAGAATGATAGAAAGAGTGAGAACAGAGTGCGACGCGTGGGTACATTGGTATGTATCCACGTGACTAATGCTGTAGCGAATTGTATAAAATTGTTATTAAACTGATTTGAGGTACAGCGTTGAGCTCGCCTTTGTTTCAAACGTGCTCGTATAGGAGAAACTGATTTTCTGTGTGCATGTGTGCGTGTACAGCTATCAAAGAATTATGTTTATCCGGCAACTATCGTTAAGTGCCGATACCACACGATTTATCGTACCTGTAAAAGGTATCCACACTCGGAAAACTGCGAATTTCATAGAGAATAGACGCAGACTATATACGAGATATACTTTTGCAAAAGTATACAGAAGTCTTTGCTTTGGTCTCTCAAAAGGAATCGTCATCTGTCAGAACCTTCGATCTACCATTTTCGAAATACGAAACACGGACGAATCGATTACAGACTTGAAATTACATGAACATACCTATATATTGTATGTAAATATATATTATTATTTAAGTATATTAACAGAGTCTGCAATGTTTCATAATTTCTTCTTAATTTGAAACATACGAGTTACAGTATTCATCTGTAACATTTCTATATATTCTACCCCTTCCTGAACCTTTTTATTATCAAGTTTTTTTTCTTTTTTTGCGACAATTCTTTTCGAAGATTACTGCAGACGTACTTTCTTCGGGCAAATTCAGTTGAAGAATGCAGTCATAAAACACGAAAATCGTCGTAGGCAACTAAAAATCACGGGGCTAATCATGTAATTCGAATTTAAATGACAAAATAACGAAGCTTGTCGAATGTATTTACATTTTCATGAAAGAGATAGGAGAGAAGAACTATGCGCACATGTATATCGCACGCGATTAAATCTGCTGCACATCTCGTATTCATTTATATTCATTCGTATACATTCATATTCAACAGAGAGAAATCGATATATTTATTAGATTTTCTTTATTAATTTCATAATACATAATATGCGGGAAATCAAATATATTGGCGTTCTTCGTATATGCGCGATTTTTTGAGATTGCGTCCTCGCGAATACTCGTGCTCATCTATTGTAAACCGGAGGCTCGTCTGAAATGCGCAGATGTTGTAAAGGGACCCTCGTCGGCGAATCCCGCGATCTCCTGGGGTATTATCGCGTACTCTTCCACACTGGTACACGGTCTGCACATGCAATCTAGCGGCGCCTTGGTGACCATCTAATGGACAGGCAGAGGTAAAATTATATGCAAGAATTAATGCAAAATTTAATATTGCTAATGAGCATCTTATAAATCTACAAAAAAAAATATCAACCAGGATTTCAACTTAATTTTTCGAATTTTAATTTGCGGAATAATTTCGGAAAATAGATATTTAGCGTCTTTTATTTTTCGGAAAGTCTATCATTAAACAAAAAGAGATAATAATCGATCTTATATCGAGAAATTTTTAAATAACGTTTAAGTGATGTGCTGTCCAGATAAGTCTAGAGCCTTTAT